ACGCCAGTGAAGTTTTCATCGCAGTGCCAAGGGTCTAATACTGTTGGTGTTGGTTGTGAGGATGGGGAGGCAGCATCCTTGTTATTATCAAGTGACAGGAGAATCCTGGCTATGTTTTTGTGTGTGTGAAAATCGAAATACACTATATGGACAAAAGTACGGGGCCACGTAAATATTACACCCCCAGGGGCTGTTTGGCCATGGAAACTGATGCCATGACGCTCCCAGCACACAGTTTGGTGCTGATGTTAATGATTGAGGTCTGGAACTCCTCAGTCATGGAAGGTCTGCAGTAATGGCACTGAAAGCACCTACATTGAAAGATTAAGAAGTGTGACCAAATACTTTAGTCCATACAATGTAGCTTTGATAGTTGCATATGATTTAAAGAAAATACTAGATGTTTTTCCAAAAGGATTTGGGATATAGTGTGCAATATAAAGATGCTTAGTCATAGGGCAGCTGTGTAGACAAAAGATAAAGTCTGACAAATTCCATAATTATGGTTTTCACATCAAAGTAAATTACAGGTTTGACACAGTTAATTTGGTGGATAAACCGATGATTGTTTGTCTCTTTTGTTTTCCATTAGCTGTGACCAGATGGAGAAGACAAATCCAGCAGCGAGTGTTTAATGCAGTGGGCAGGCAGACTCCAAAGTGGGTTAATCCTTCACTGCTGAGGCAACAAACTCCAAGGGTGAGCATGGCAGAGATGTAGCGTGCAATAAATGTCTGCTTAGAGTGAAATGATTATAGAGTTGAACAATGTTAGAATTATACGGAGAGATAAATAATCAGGTTATGTTAAATTATATCATATCATCATTAAGTCATTAAAATGCATTTGCTTTGAGACTATTGTGGTAGAAAACATGAAACATGAATGATTTTTGTGATGAATATACTGAAATACAAGCAGGATTCAGCAATATGAACAAAGCAAAGACATCTGGTTGGTTGTCATAATTCAAGTGCTGAGGCAGACTATGTAGAGAGAATACAGTGCACATCTGCAGGGCAGGAAACCTTCTGTCACTGTTCATGTAGATATACTTCAACACACTGTCAGAAACCCAGACTTGGAGAACATTTTTGTCCTCATATTTAACCATAACAGAACTGTGTAAAAAGGAATATACTTATTTTAAACTACAAAGTCCAGGCAGTGTCAGAAAAAAGGGCTCCAATGTACCTGGATAAGAGGCACAGAAACATTGAAGACTGCAGAACTGCTTTCATTGGGTAAAATAGAAAACCACAGAAATTCATATTTTCATTTCTTTCATTGAAAGTTTTCTCATTGTAGAGAACGGAGACAATCTTGACTTCAACATGAAATGAACTTTAAACTTTAAAAAGTATTTCACACCTGCAATCAAGAGATACAGCGATACATCAGCACTCAGAGTTAGCCAGACCAAGTCTATATCTACCAAACAAAGTGCTTTAAAGATGAAACTGTCTTTTTTCACAGTGCTAAAAACTAAAACTACATGTTTTAAATGATCAAACACTTTTTAATTTTAATTTAAGCTATTCAGACCTATCTGGGCCCATGTGAAAAAGGATTTTCCTCCTACACCTAATGACTGGTTTGGCCACCCTTGGCAGCAAGGATGAAAAATAACATGGTTTCCAAACACCAGTCAAGTGTTTGGAAAAACTGCCAGTGAGTCTTTCACATCATTGTGGAAGAATTCTGGCCCACTGTCCTTTGCAGAATTATAATTCAGACAAATTGAAGGCTTTTTGAGCACGAACAGCATGCCAAACCATATCAACAGCTGTTAACTTGTTAGAGTTAAGTGATTAGGCCACTCCAAAAATCTTAATTATGTTCTTTTTGAGCCTTTCAGAGGTGGACTTCCTGGTGTGTTTCAGAAAATTGTCCTGCTGCATAACTCAAAACTGAATTCACAGTTCCATCTATTACAGCAAGTCGTCCAGGTCCTGAAACACCAAAGCACTCTACCTCCACCATTTTTTTCTGTTGGTATGATAGTCTTTTTAAGAAATGCTGTTATAGTTTTACACCAGATGTAACAAGACGCAAACCTTCAAAAAGTTCAACTTCTCTGTTGTCAGTCCACAGACTATTTTTCCAAACATTTATGGCAAATGTGAGACAAGCCTTTGTGTTTCTTTTTTGTCAGTAGTGTCTCGGTCGTTGTGTCCTTGGGCAAGACACTTCACCTACCGCCTACAGGTGTTGGCCAGAGGGGCCGATGGCGCGATATGGCAGCCTTGCTTCTGTCCGTCTGTGGCTACAAACTGTAGCTTGCCTCCACCAGTGTATGAATGTGAGAGTGAATGAATAGTGGAATTGTAAAGCGCTTTGAGGGCCCTGAAAAGCGCTATATAAATGCAATCATTATTATTATTATTATAGTGGTTTTCTCCTTGGAACATCCCATGGGTTCACTTTTGTCCAGTCTCTGTCTTATTGTTGAAGTCTGACCTTAGCTGTGGCAATTGAAACCTTCAGGTTTTTAGATGTTGCTCTGGGTTGTTTTGTGGCCTTCTAGATGAGTTGCCGATGTACTCTTGGAGTAATTGTGGTAGGCTGTCCACTCCTGGGATTGTTCGCTACTGTTGCAAGTTTTTTTCTCTATGTGAATAATGGCTCTCACTGTGGTTCACTGGAGCCTTAAAAATTTATTTTCAACCCTTTTTAGACTGACAGACGGATATTACTTTAGATTGTGGCATGATGTGTTGGTTTTTGACATCTTTTCACCTACTTCACTTTGTTCTCCCCGTGTTTCGTGGGTTCTCACCGGGTACTGCAGCTTCCTCCCACAATCCAGAGACATCCAGTTAGTGTAGTTAGGTTAATTGGTCATTCTAACCCTGAGCCCACCCACCCCTGAGCAACCCTGACAAGGAAAAGCGGAAGAGATAGGATGAATGGGAGTGGCAGTTACGTTTTCTACCAACAGTGAAATGGTAAATGGCCTGTATTTGTAAAGCGCTTTGGGGTCCTTGGGGACTAGGAAAGCGCTATACCACTCACTCCCGTCCAGTCATCCGCCCATATTGACACACTGGTGATGGAAAGCTACGTTGTAGCCGCAGCTGCCCTGGGGCGCACTGACAGAGGCGAGGCTGCCGGACACTGGCACCATCGGGCCCTCTGACCACCACCAGTAGGCATAGGGTGAAGTGTCTTGCCCAAGGACACAATGACTGAGACCGGGACTCGAACCGGCAACCGTGCGATTGCAAGACGATCACCATAACAAGTGAATTGGAAAAGCACTTAAGAAAATGCATGGATGGTTATTTTCAAGTGGAATCATATCACCCACATTGCAAATTGCTGTCAGCTGTCATTCAGTGTATGATTAGCTGTGCTGCTGCAGAGATCCAGGCCAGACCAGGCAGAAGCTGTTTCATCAGATGAAAAGAGGCTGGTAACATTTTTGTAAAATCAAATGAGCATTACAACCTGGATTTAAGATAAAATGTTAAATATTTACACACAAGGAGCTGTTGAATACCAGAGTGCATCAATTAAATGGAAGGAAAATCCTTGATGGGTTCTGTTTTCAAATGGTTAAAGGAATTGTTTACCGAATACGAAATTTGATTTTCAGTCATTCTCTCTTCATAGGACATGCGAGTGGGATTCACACATGCCTCCTGTCGCACCCACTTCTTATTTCGCATAATCTGAAGTTAATTTGACACCGCTTCCTGACAGGTTGGTTAACCAGCGATTTATCAAGCATACATTACTCTGCAGTGTTCTCTCATTAAACATATAAGGCTTTGCAGCAGGTATCATAATTACTCTCTCAGCACTCACCTAGCAAATCATTCTGTAAATTGCCCAGTAAGTAATGCTTCTGACAATATATGTCTCCAATAGTAGCAAGCTGGAACAGAGCTGTAAGGGGCAACATTCTCCGTCTTCTTGTATGTTAGGTAAATGTAATTTGACCCACTAACTCAATGGATATTTGCAAAAATTAAAAGGACACGAAGATGCATGGAGGTTCTCCACCACCTTTCTACAATGCTATTTGAAAACGTGGACATCCCATCATAGCATGACACATACACACAGAAACACACTTTGTGTCTGTGTCTATATGAGGGGGTACAGTGTCAGCCCCCCAGGCAGCGGACTTTCAAATATTGAGTACGCCCTACTGTGGAACAAACTGCGACTGCTATCCAATGCCACGCTTGTCTGCCTCTGTTCAGATCACTTCCTCCGCTGGCTCCAGCCATCTGGTGGGAGGTAGCCTTGGCTCGTTTCAGATTTGGAAAGGATCCAAATAGCTTTCCCTGTCAGCTTTACTGCGCTCTCTGCGTTCTCTCTCCCAGGTTGTGTATATTAAGACGTTAACCAAGACATCAGGATTACAGCTATAATCCTGAAATTTATGTCTCTCCTCAGATGCACATCTGTCCCACCTCTCATTTATTAGGCTCTTAGGGAAGACTGAGATGAAGAGAGATGGGATGTTGCTATAACTGGTCTTACTAAAGAAGAATGATCATATTTCTGGTGGTTCTGGCACACCTCTGTTTAGTGTCAGGACACAATCATCTGAGATGTGTTTCTTGCAGTGATAAACCCATAAAGCATGTTTTGGTTTTATGGCCCCCAGCTGTACTGTTTTGGTCCAATGTCAGCATGAAGACAACACTGTGCACAACCAGATCAGTATCAAAAAGCCAAGAAACACCTAGCCCATTAAGTTTTTTGTGGACGCTTTGGCAAAGCAAAATACATTTTTTCAGAGACATTGGTAGAGACTTAAATAAAGTGAAAAAAACAGTGACTAACAGACCGAAACAAAACTATGTATGCACTCTAATATTAGACAGAACTGTAAAAGCAATCAGTGGAATCAACATCTAATGTAAGCCCCAAACCACAGTCATTTTTGTGACTGCTGAAGAGCCTCGGAACAGAATAGGAACGATTTGTTTCATCTTAATGAGAGACACAGACAAATACTTGCTTCATTGCTTTATCTAAAAAAAATTGCAGTCATATAAAAAAAAAACATTGAAAAAAAGCATTGACTTTACTTAATTTTTTATGCTCAGTAAATATGTAAAAACAAGAAATATTTTCACACATTTGACACTGCTTCTCGATTATGACTGTGCTTCATTCCTTCATTTACAAGGACGTTTGCATCTTAGTGGCATCTTGGGCTTTTCCATTCATGTCAGAGTTAATAGACAGAACCAGCTCCATTTCCTGACCAGGCGAGGGGATGGGCATTTTATTAATCTTGGCAAAGCTCTGGCTGATGTCCATAAAGGTTTTATTTTTGGTTTCCGGGAGGACGACATAGAGGTATATGGATCCCAGAATGCAGACTGCCACAAACACAAGGAAGGAAAAGGACTGCAGCGTCTCCTGTGCAAACAGAAAACATACAGACAAGAAACATGAGACATATCAGATTTGTGCATACACTGTGCTGTTTTCAACATCCTTACCCTCAGTTCATCATTCTTCAATCAGATGACATCTAGTAAAGTTTATTAAAAAACAAAAATTTTACAGCAGAATTTTAAACAATTAAATGATTACTAGCGTGTCCACCTCCACACAGCTGGATCGTGACATTTTTCAGTCCATCTCTGCAGAGACATCATCTGTGGCATCTGTTTTGTCATCTGTTTTGTCAAATGTGTGTCATTGATGAGGACAGCATAACATTCCCATGATTTTCCGCTCAAAAGAATCCTACAAGCATATAAACTGAACATTACTCTTCTTGTATATACTTGCATGTAGTCGTGTGTTCAAGTACCAAAAGTATGAAAGGTAACCTTGTCCTGTGGGTTATGCCAATAATAGAGATTAGTGACAGATTTAAAAATACTCACTGACTGATTACCCAGAGGGAGATTTAGATGTGGAGAGAGGGTTTTGTGCGTGTGCGTATGTGAGTAAGAGAGAAAGACAGAGAAAGAGTCTGAGAGAGAAAGGTTGGGTGTAGGGCAGAGAAACTTGGCTGACCCTGACCAGTATGTTACCAACTATAATCTCTCGCTTATGAGGAGGCAGACCGCAAATGCAGAACTATGTACCAGGTATTAGAAATGCAGTGTCCAAACAACCACGACCTCAGTAAAGAACTACTTACCACTTTGATTTCAGTTGGTTATATCACCACTGCTGTTAGTCTCTGACACTGTTTTCCTCTGTTGAGAGTATTTCATAATAGCGCCATAAAAAAAAACAAAAAACCTCAGAGCATCGTGCAAAGGGCCTGACCCAGTTTCCATGCTGCCTCTGTGACGTAACACTCATCTGCAAAGTTAGCAAGTTCTTCAGAAAGAACTGCCTTTCTCTCTCAGTTGTCAGGGTAGATGAGTCATCTTACAAACAGGACATTTATGCGTTCACTCCATTTGTCATTAATCGAATTTTTGCAAGCCCGTGGATTGACGAGGATGAGACAGTCCTGATTTTGACACTGGGATAAGCCTTTGATCTGCTGTGGTGGCTCAGCTGGATTCAGTGTGGTGCACACGCAGACAGTAAGGCATGAACACAAAGACCCAATTGCTGTTCACACACACACACAAACAGACACACTTTTTTCATGCTTAAATGAATGTTGGCTGAATAATGTGCAAACAGAAAAGGCGAGGTGAATGCTCTAAAATGCACTGCAGACGTACTGTAAATCTAATCTGGTCAAATGAGTGTCCATGCTTGGACATATACTGTCAGTCACTGGTTTCTGGTGCAACAATGAGTCATTGCTGGGGGAAGGGGTTTGCCGGTGTTAAAAAGGGGATATTTGCATGGCTGTGGGCTTTCATAGATTGTGTTGCCTGTGGGAGGCACAACGAGGAGATGGAGATGTATACAAGATTTGAAATGTCCACACTGGACTGATTTATGGATTACACCGATCAGCCACAACATTAAAACCCCTGGGAGAGAATAACATTGATCATCTTGTTACAATGCAGTGTTCTGTTGGGAAACCAGGAGTCCTGGCATTGATGTGGATCTTTTGACGTTGTCTTCAGACTCTCCAGATTCCAATATGATCAAGCGTCTGTGACAACCCACAGGACCCAATGGATCTGCTGCCAAAGTCCTGATGCCTGACTCTACAGTTGAGTGTTGTGGCTAATCCTTGGCTATATCATTGTTGTTACAATATGAGCATACAAGACAAAAAAACAACAATACCCATTAAGCATCATGTTTATGGATCACAGCTGCATTAATAAGACAAACACAAAGTCATTCAAAACTCATAGCGTATGAATGGATGTGATTGAATGTGATGGGTCATTAGGTTTTACAGATCTCATGCACAAATAGAGCTTGTTGTTATTGCCACATTTTATACTTATATATACATTTATATTGGTGTGAAGCATCGCATTGGAACTAGAGCTCCTGCTATCTTAGCATTTCTCCATATGATGACTTCACCAGCTTTGGTAAGGGTTAAAAAAATGGCAAGTGAAAGTTTCTTCTTTCCATAAAATTCACTGTGGCAGAAATTGACGTTATACTGTTTGTTTGTACTGGCTGACTAGAGTTATAGAGCAGCGTGCATAGTTTGTGAAAAGCTTGCCTGAGTCAATAACTGCAGAGTTCCAAACCTCTACCGTTATTAACATCAGCACACAAAGTGTGCGCTGGGAGCTTCATGGCATCAGTTTCCATGACAGAGAAGCTCTTGCTCTTGCAATTCTTAGGGAATGCTTTAGACTCCAATTGCAGCAGAAAGAAGGTCTTGTAACCCTGTAGTGCATCCTGCTTGGTGCATGAGTTTTTGAGACCTTTACATCATGTTTATTTGTTTTTTCAGAAAAACCTGATGTACACAATTAGACACATGTGGTGCTACTGTGAGCAATAAATACACATAAATGCTCGTTGTAGCAAAAAGGATACAAATTAAAACTAATATGCAAATTGATATTTAATTTCTTTCCTCTTAATTTTTCAGAAAGTTCCATAAATCCTCCAGTTAGACTTTTCTGGCAATTATTTCATGGTTCAGGCTTTATGAGGTGAAAGCACGCATTAGATCTGTTAAATTTATATAAAAAAAAAAAGAAAGAAAAGAGCAAGTTAAACAAAAAATCTCTGTTAAAACTTCAAATGAGGCTGTCAACAGTATCTCAAATGAACACATACAGGATGGCTGGAGCCTTTTCGTGTGGAGTTTGCGTATTATTCCTGTGCCTGTATGGTTTTCCAAATTAGCCAAAGGTGAATTGATTTGGAGAACTGATGATTCAAAATGATGATAGTGTGTGGTTGTCGGTGTTAGCTCTGCGATGAACTGGCAATTTGTCTTGAATATAGACAAATCCAAGATGGCGGTACACATCGAGTTAAGATATCTCACTTATCTTAACTGCACTACTGTATAGTTCTGTGTAAATAATCATTCTGTACATACGATAATTTTTAATCTTACAACTGTTTATAACTTGCATAGTTCACATTTCTGTATAACTGTATATCTCAGATTTCTGTATAGTTTTTTTTTTATTTCATATTTATATCCTGTTCATATCCTGTACATAGCTTGTACTCACTACAGCCTGTACATACTTATAGTTATAGAATATTCACAACATACTTCATACCGTGTACATTATAACATACCATAATAGACCCATTTCTGTAATATACTTACATATCTATATTATTGCTAATATATATTGTAATATATCTATATCACTAAAGCACTTCTGGATGGATGCAAACTGCATTTCGTTGCCCTGTACCTGTGCATGTGCAATGACAATAAAGTTGAATTCTATTCTATTCTAATTCTATTCTATATAGAGGGATTATGGCAGTCTTGCTTTGATTGATGACTTTGATTTGTTTTAATTATTTTACCTGAAAAAATAGTTAGTCCCTTTGAAACCATGACAGTGTTTAATATTAGAGAGATCCAACCTCTGGTCTTTTAAACAGAGCCAGTAGGATTCCCATACACCGAGTATTAAAAAAGTGAATACACTCTGGGCTAATTAAAATAAATCTCCAAAGTGGAAGATAAAATATACAATTTGCATGTGGCAAAATTTGGGTCAGGATTGTCCCCCATGAACCTTGTTAACATGCTCCATCTGGTGCCATCATCATGCATTTGGCTCAAATATTTGATAAAATACAAAAGATGACCAGTCAAATCAGTAGTAACAGTAATTAATTGCTATCCTTTAATTTTCCAGGGCCAGTGTCTCAGTTGTCTGTATCAGCCTTTCATTGATCAGGAAATAGCCTTGGTGGAGTTTTCGGGAGTGTTAATTGGTATAATTGCTACTTAATGTGTTCCTTTCCTGCACCATAGGCCTGGGAGCATTTTGCATATCTGTGTTCAGGTGCTGCTGTCCTTTTAGATATCCATGTAGGGAATTAAAAAGTGCTAATAATTGATAATATTTCATATTACAAGATTTTAACTGCTATATTTTATAACCCCATTTGAACACCTAGCTCTGCAGAGCACTAACTGACACCTCAGCAGTGGCCTGCCATGGAAAGATGGGATGTGACAGTTAAACGGTGTGTTGTCTGGAAAGGGGTCAGAGCTGGTTTCAGGTGCATGTCAGAAACCAGTCAGTCACTGCTGGGATCTGGATGCCAGGCATGTGCCTGGGAGTTCGTGGGGCTAGCAAAACCCAACCAACAAAAGCAACGAGCAACTCTGCAATATTTGTGGAATTGGCTGGCTAAAAATAACCTTCTGTTGCTTTCTGTTTCTCACACGTGTCCAAATCTTCCCTGCCAGGTCAGCCTTATCTCTTGCTCTGGTCTAGGACTTTCAAAACCCATTTCTCCTGTGACACACTCTTATTGTATACCTTTATTATCTGTTTAATTACCTATTCAGCTCTATATCTACTTGACCTTCCATTTCCTGACATAAATTACCAGCAATCTCATTGTTCAAAATACCAAAAAAAACCCCAAAAAACCCCACCTGTTTATCATGACATCATACCTCTTTGTCCTGTCTTCCTACTGGTCAGTGGTACATGACAGATAGAAGTGCAATATATCATCTTTTGTTTCTCCAATCCTTATTTTTTACAAGAATGAAGTGACAGTGCAGACACAATGGTGAGGTGTTCAGGCTCCTGTACATCTACTGACAACTCTTCATTTAAGGATTCATAGTCTGGTGTAGCTCTAGCACAGGAGAGTATAGGTGTTTCATTACAGGGTACCTGACATGCGGAAACCGGCAGGGTTCAGCACATTTCTGTAAATGACTTCCACAATGCAAGCTTCCTATTCTTAGCAGTGGGTGTTGCTTACCTAGTTATATTGTGATCGGTAACATGACACAAAGGAAAATAAATGTAGTTTTTTGTCACACTGCCAATGTGAAGATGTGGATGGCATTTTTG